TGTGGCCACTTAGGGAGTGAACCAGGTAGAAGATCTTTTCTGTGTCTCCTCTTATTTCTGTAAAATCTACCTTCCTAATTGAAATAAAATCTTAAAAAATAAATAAATAGGGCCCGGCGCGGTGGCGCAAGTGGTTAAGGGCCTCGCCTTGCACGCCCGGGATCCCATATGGACGGCGGTTCTAATCCCGGCAGCCCCGCTTCCCTTCCAGCTCCCTGCCTGTGGCCTGGGAAAGCAGTCGAGGACAGCCCAAAGCTTTGGGAACCTGCACCCGCGTGGGAGACCCGGAAGAGGCTCCTGGCTTCGGATCGGCATAGTATGGGCCCGTTGCGCTCACTTGGGGAGTGAATCATCAGACGGAAGATCTTCCTCTCTGTCTCTCCTCTCTGTATATCCGCCTTTCCAATAAAAAATAATAAAAATAAATCTGTAAAAAAAATAAATAAATAGAAAGAAACAAAAAAACACACACCTGGAGTAGGTACCAGGTGCCATACTCCTCCCTGGACCTGGGGGGCTACCTCTCCCTCTGTCTGCCTTCACTGCACCGTGCTACCGCCCTCAAGGATACGTTCTTGCTCATGTCGAGTCTCCAGAGCTCGTTCCACAAGACCCGTGACCGTGTTCTGTAGGCCTTCGAGCTGGGCACACAGGCGCTGCAGCAGCTCTTCCTGGCTGTGCCGCAGCTCTGCCAGCTCTCTCTGCTGTTGCCAAATCAGTGCTGGCCAGTCCTCAGGGGGCTCTACCACCTGCCAGCAGTACTGACAGTTATGCGATGCCTGCCTCCCCCATTCCTACCAGGGAATGTTGCAGAGCCCTTCCCTACCCTTACGGGACGGGATCCCACAAGTAGAATGGGTGTTCACTCTCACCTGGTGTTCCGTAAGCCGCGGCCCCACAGCTAAATTCCTGCCATGGGTGAGAAGTATCTCAGGCCACGTCAGGGAGCCAGAAGACCACCCCACTCTCTGGCCCCTGGCTCCCTGCATACCCATCATCCTTCTTGTTTTTCCGCTTGAGCTTAGGTGAGGTCCGAGGGGACCCCTTGGTTTTCCAGTCCTTGACGGGGAGCCGTGGAGGGGGAACTTTGGTCCCAAAGCCTCCTGAGGCAGAAGCCAGGCTGGCCACCTCATCATCGTGATCACTGGAGGAAGCAGAGAGAGGTGTTGAATGTCTGCTCACTTGCTGGCCCTCCCTTGCAAGGGGAATGGTGTTGAGGGGTGCCCACCTTTGCTCAGCACTGGTGTCCTGGCTATCATGTTGCTGTAGCAGGTGGTAAGGTGGTCGGTGGAAGGCCAGGCTCTTGTGCTTTTCCTGGAGGCCATTCCTGGGGCTGGGGAAAGGGCCAGCTTAGCAGTGAGTAACTACCTGAAGCCCCTCCCACCACCTTCCCCCTTCTGCACTCCTCACCTCTCTGCCAGGGTGCTACAGGTCTCACGAGTAATATCAGGTGCTGTAGGCCAAACCTGACTGTCAGCAGTCACAACTTCCTGGCTCAAGGCTGCCTCCAGCAGGGAAGGAGTACTGTGCCGATCCCCATCCCCTGGGCCTCCATCGAGGCCAAGCTGGGGGCCAAGCTCGGGCCCTGGACGGGGCCGTGGAGAGAGCAGGTGTAGTGCTGAGGCAGCTGAGGCCATACTGTCTGGCTCAAGGGCTTCAGGGGCAGAGGAGCCAAAGCCACGGGACAGGGCCTCGGACGCAATCTCAGGAATGTCCTGGGACAAGGCAGTGGAAGCCGAGGAGATAACATCAGGGGAGCGGGTGCGGCTGGGAGAAGCCTGGGGAAGTCCCAGAGGTTCTACTTCCTGCAGCTCCAGGGACAGTGCAGAGGCAGCAGTAGGTACCTGAGATGGGCCAAAGACAGGGTATTAAGTGATGGGAGGTGCTGTGGTGAAGCACAGAGCTAAAACACCAGTGCTGGTATTGACAGGAGACAGCAGGGAAGGGGTACAGGTTAAACAGAGGGCCACAGTCCAGGAGGGCAGGGTGTGGGGAGGCTGGTATGACCTCAGAGGAAGTGGGCAGTACTGGAGGCAGAGTAGGGCCAGCAGACAAAGCAGAAAGGATGCAGCAAAGCCAACTGCTGCTACCTTTCCATGCTGCCATCCACCTGCTACCCTGCATTCACACAAACACACCTGCCCAGGTCCTTTGGGAGTCAGTTTGTCAGCTGGGCCTTGGAGAAGGCCAGGCAGGAGGCTGCGTGGGCTTGCCTGCAGACTGTTGCTGCCACTCACTGTCAGGCTGCCATCCAGCTGCAGCTTGGGGCTCAAGGTCAGCTCCTCAGGTGGCCTGGTGGCAAGGAGGCTGAGGTATTAGCTGCCACAGCTTGCTGTAAAATCAGCTCCTCCCATACTCCACCTCTGACCCTTCACCTTACCTGGCCAAGGAGGGGTCCATAGCTGAGGTGCCACTCATGGCAGACACGGCTGTGAGAGAGCTGCTGCTGCTGCTACTGCTGCTAGTGCTGCTGCTGCTGCTGCTATTGCTACTGCCAGGGGATGCAGCAATCTAGGGAGATGCAGAGAATAAGGGCTGTAGCCTGTGGGTGTGGCATTCCCATGTCCCCCAACCCTGGGGAAGTACCTGCTGCAGGGAGGCAGTGGGTGTCATGAAGGCGTCAGGTGTCATCAGCTTGGGCTTGGTCTCACTGCTCAGACTGAGGAAGTCAGCAGGTGCAGGCAGCTCCACAATGCGTCGGAGGTCAGGCTGGGAGCCATGAGAGGCTGACCCCAGGCCCTCAGAGCCTAATTCAGATCTAGATTCTCCAAATGCTGTGGGGAAAGCTGACATGAGAGTCCAATCTCTAGCCCCAGGAAGTTCAACTGGCTTCCCTCTTGCCCTTCACTTACCAAACTCCTCATGGGGAGTGTGTGTGGGGAGCGGGGCTATCACATCAGGGTTCAGCTGTGGCTGGAAGCGGATCTGCACATCTTGTAGAGCCCTGCAGAAAGAGAGCAAGCTTGACTGCTCAAACAAGACAGAGCAAGTAGGGGCAGAGAGGGACACAGACAAACAGCTGGTGGGTCTCCCAACACACTTACTTAGTATGCACACAGAAGAGCTTGATGAGTACACCGGCTGCAGACTCCATGGCACCAGCTCCGTGGGCACCATCTGAAAGGACAGCATGGATGATTCAACCCCTGGCCTTCTCTGTGCCTTGTCACCTCACAAGTCAACATACAGTCCCCAGCCCATGGCAGCTCACCAGCCCCCAGACTGTCATTCTCCTCCTCGGCAGGCAGCACCTCAGTGTGTCGCAACCGGCAGCGGCTCACAACCTGGATCCCAAAGCTCAGCACGGGATGGGTGAGGAGGAACTCGGAGATGGAGCTGAAGCAGGCGCGGCCCTCCTCCTGGTTCTGTAGCAGCTCCATCACGTAGAGGACCTGCACAGGTGACACATTCCCAGGTGAGCTCAGAGGCTGTGAGGGCAGCCTATGTGCCATGCCCCGTGCCCCTAGTGCTGATACTGGCTCTGCCCTCGGTAGTATACCTTCCGTTGCACATCGCTGAGAATCAGGTATTCTGCTGAAAGGTCCAAACAAACCTTGAGGCTTGGGGGAACACTCACTGAGCTGAAGATATCTGGGGAGAAGCTAGGGAGCCACAAAGCAGAGGAAATGATGCCATGCGTTCTGAGAGGCCACATCCCCAACCCTTGGATCCACACCCAGCAAGCAGTCTGCTCACCGGATAGTCTGCAGGCAGGTCCAGGACACTGTGCACCACATCTTCAGTTCCCGATTCTGGTCAGCTCCAGTAATGAGGAACCTCCAAAAAGGGACCCTGCAAAGTAGCAAGTGACTGGCTGGGTGCTCTGCTGGGAGCCCTGGCCAGCCCATCAGCCACTCGCCTGCCCACTCACTCACTCAGGATCCTGCTTCTTATGGTTGTCACAGAACAGCAGGCAGGAGAGAGGCCGCCCATCATGTGGCTTCCACTCATGCAGACACCTGTGTGCAGGCAAAGGAGGGGCTTGGGTGAGCAACTGGCTCTCCTGTCTCAAGGGGTTCTGGACCCTTCAGCCCTTTCTTACCTTGGCTCATCCTGCCCTTCAATGTAGATCTGCCAGAACTTGACATAGCCATCATGGCTCGCAGTAGCCAGGACAGTCCCATCAGGGGAGAGGGCACCTTCGCTGAGGCACTGGGAAGAACCCATTGAGTTTGGCTTTGCCATCTCACCAGAGGTAGGAATGAGCCCTCCCACAGAGGATTTGCACATCTCTGTGGCTGACTGAAATGGGGGAGCTTTAGACAGGACCAGATCCACAGGAAATAGCAGGGTTAGGAGGAAGTACCACAGGTGAGGGCTCCTCTGGGCTCAACAGCCCCAAGGGCGGAGGGCTGGTCAAACTGCCTAGGCAGCTGTGGATGCGGGGAAGAGACAAGGGCAGGGAGGAAGGTTAGCTGCAGACATACCGTGCTGTGGCCTTTCACCACAATGTAGCCCTGCTTGATGTGGCCAACATCCACAGGCCAGGTGCTGTAGCTGGAGCGGAGCATGTCCAGGTCCCACACCTCAGCCTGGAGCAAACAGGGAGGGGAGAGCTCAGCCCACACCTGCAAGATAGCTGCTCAGTCACCTCCCTGCCGTGGGGTCCAGTTCCCGCACCCGGTCTTCATGCAGCAGGGCCACGGTTGGGCTGCTCTCCTCGCAGCAGTCCTCACTCTCCTCAGGGATGAAGGGGCACCAGATGATCCTGCGGAAATGGTTCAGTGGCGTGCCCTCTGGCTGCCGGATATGGATCAAGATCTCTTCTCTGAGCAGGGTGTTAAGGGCTTGATAGGTAAGATGATGGAATGTATCCAAAAAGCCCTGCCCCCATGCCCCATGCCCAGAAATGGATACTGGATCTTGCCATTGACCAAAGCTAAACGCCAAACAAACAGGTTGCCTGCCTCATCTAGGCATGCCAGCTGTGGAGAGTTGAGGTGTGCGAAGGCCAGGTCAGCCACGCTGCCTGTGAAGCCTTTCAGCAGAGTTCGCTCTGAAGTGCTGACGCTGATCACTCTCACCATCGCTGAACCATTGTTGGCAGCTGCAATCAGGACAGCAGTGGGGCTTGACAGTGGACCCAGGCTTGGGCAGCACACACAGCCTTACCCTCACCTACTTTGCTGTCAATACCATGGCACGACCCCACTCCTAAGGCCTGGGTGGTCCAGACAAGTCTTCTAATGTGATCCCTGAGGTCTGAGTAGGCTGACACTGGCTCTAGATCTCTGGGCTTCAAGCAAAATCCTTTCTGCTCTGCCCTACCCCCTACTCACCCCGAATGGCATAGGCCAAAAAGGAGTTCGATACAGCGATCAGGTTGCCGTAGTAGTACTTCTGCTCCCAGTCATATTTGGCGACAGGCTGTATTTTCACCTGGGAACCCAAAATGAGGGAGGACACAGAAGTTGAGGACCAGGGAAGCTTCCCTTAGAACTGAAGGTGTTTCCAGCAACTCTGGGGATGGGAGAGGTTACAAGCACAAGCCATGCAACCCAGATTCTAAGAAGAGATTCCCATAGCATCTAGGTAGCCAACTCTGGCTTCCTGAAACTGGAGCACACGATCTATTTTCCAAGGTGCTCCTCATAAGAACTGGCACCACAGGCCCAATGGATAGGCTGGATGTATGTCACAAAACCCTGACACCTACCTTGTTGCTTCCCCGTGCCTTGCTCGAAATGCTTGAGTCGCTGCTGGCCACAATCTCCACCTCTTTGGCCAAAATCCCAATGCAGGTAGAGCTGTCATCCCCTGACAGGCAGCTGGGGGGAGGGGAAGCACAAATCTTGTCTCTTGTTCACCCAAAGGTTCAAGGGGTAGAGTTGAGAGGAGGAAAAGACACAACCACCCCAAGGCAGGTAGGTCTAGTCTCAGCTGCCAGCCCCCCTAGCTTGCCTCCTTCATTGAGAAGAAGCTTCCTTTTACCCTAACGCAGGTGTCCAGGTCAAACCTCTGAGCTTGTCCTCAGTCCTAACCCTAGTACAAGTTCAGGGTGGTTTAGGTCATGCAGGCAAACAAGCAGCCAAAGCTGCTGGTCCTTCCGGCCTCCCCATCTCATGCCTTCAAGTTAGCAGATGCCCCAAAGACACCCTCATTACCACTGCCACCTCCCAGGCACTCACATGACCTGTTTCTCCTGCAGGTTAATGGGCGGCAAGGTCCGGAGACCAGACTTGCTTGCTGCAGTACCATCACCTGAGCAGAGAGGATCTGGGACCAGAAGCCCATTGAGATCCCCATTGTAGGTGCTGGATGGTCGCTGGTTCTCTGGACTGGGGCCTACGGACAGAGAGGACCATGCTGATAAGGCTGTTTCGTTTGCCTATTAGCTCATCAGAGTTTCTTCCCAACACCAGGAAGTGCTTGGAAGCATTCAGCTACGCAAGGCGTTCTTATGGGAAAGAGGGCCTTTCCTCATCTCCTGTTTCACAGGCACCGATGTATGCCAGGAGCAAGGCTGAGCAAGAGACTTCTCTACTGGAAGAGTACAAACCATCAAGGACACGCAGAGGTCAATACACCAAACTCTAGGTACTCGAGGAATGGCATGGAAAGGGTCTGGAAAAGCTTCATGAGGAAGACACCATCAGTGCCAATGTGACCAGAATGCCAACGTGGGGAGGGCAGAGGGGAAACAAACTGCAGGGACCTCAGTTAATGATGTTGGGCTTTTGAGTTCCTTCCCATGAGCAATGAAAATCCCAAAAGAGGTTTAAAGGGAAAGATGTCATGGCTAGCTCTCTCCAGTGGGCTGACTGCTCTAAGGCAGCAAATTCAATGTTTGAGAATCCAATGACTGATAACTGAGCTTGAACCAAGGTAACAGCAAGGCTTAGAGAGGAGATGAGCACTCAAGGCCCAGAAGGAATATGTTCAGATGAGGAGATAAGAAAGGAAGGAGGGAACCCAGTGCAATAGCCACAACTGGCTGGTCCTCTGCCTGCAACGCCAGTACCCCGTAAGGGTGCCGGTTTGTGTCCCAGCTGCTCTACTTCCTGCTCCTTGCTTGTGGCCCAGGAAGGCAGCAGAAGGTGGCCAAAGGCCTTGGGCCCCTGCAACCACTTGGGAGACTTCGAAGAAGCTCCTGGCTTCAAATCGGCTTTAGCTCGAGCTGTTGCAGCCACTTGGGAAGTGAATCAATGGATGGAAGATCTTCCTCCCTGTCTTTCCTTCTCTCTGTAAATCTGGCCTTTCCAATAAAAATAAATCCTTCAGAAAGAGTGAGCCTGCCCCACACAGAAATAATTCAGAACAATCGACCACAGATGGAACAGATACAAAGGAGCTGGATAAAGAGGAGAGAAACAGCCTGGTGCTGTAGTTCAACAAACTAATCCTCCATCTATTAGCACCAGCATCCCATATGGGTGCCTGTTCATGTCCTAGCTGCTCCATTTCCCATCTGATTCCCTGCTTATGGCCTAAGAAAGCTGTAGAGGGTGGCTCAGGTCCTTGGGTCCCTGCATTCGTGTGGAAGTCTCAGAAGAAGCTTCTGGCTCTGAATTGGCCCAGCTCTGGCCATTGTGGTCATCTGGGGCATGAACCAGCAGATGGAAGATTCTCTCCCTCTATAAATCTATCTTTTGAATAATAAAAAAAAAATTTAAAGAGAGAGAGAAACTCAGAAGTAGGCATGGAGTCAGAAAAGACAACATTCCAGTTGTGGGCACCGGCTTGGTCTTGAAACACTCTCACAGGCTCAGTCATGACTGCCATCATCTTTCCCAAGTAGCAAGAAAACCACGGTTCCACACTCAGGATCTCTGTGAATTTCCAGTCACCCAACAGTCTGATGTGTGACTTGGTCCTACAGCCAGAGGAGATAAGCAGGCGCTCCAACAGTGAGACAGAGCATAAATCAAGAACCACCTTAGCGGCTCAGGAACAAGATGATACTCTCCTTCCCGGCCTACTACCACAAGGATAAAGCAGCAGCAGTCCCAGGCTGTTGGGGGTTGGCTGTGCCAGGCTGTACTGAATCTCAGCAGAGCCTGGTCTGCTCAGCACCTGATAAGCTCGAAAGCCTCAGGACAAGTGTGAAAGCTCCAAGACACACTTGCAGAAGAGGGAGCCCGCACTCCAGGCTTGGGGTGAAAGGCTCAGTGTTCTCTGACAGCAGACAGATTTACTCAGGCAGTAGTATAAGGGTAAGCCAAATGCACTCAGAGGGTGCAGCAGCACCTGCTTCCAGAAGCAGTCAGGCTGAACCTTTGTTCTTTCACCTGCTGGAAAGCTCAGCCTGACTGCTTCTGGAAGCAGGTGCTACTGCACCCTCTGAGTGTATTTGGCTTACCCTTATACTACTGCCTGAGTAAATCTGTCTGCTGTCAGAACAAGATCTGAGGAAACACAGGTTCTTAGCTGTGGCCACTGCACACCCATACCACCAACAGCATTCAGTCCCTCCAGCCAGCACAGATCCCAGAGCCTGCCAGAAAACTCTGGTCCCTTCCTGCTGATTCCCTTTTCCTAATGGGTAGCCTCTACTGGCTTGGATGTGTTAAGACTTCCAGCCTACACAGCCTCCACGGTCAGATCTGCTCTCTGAACCCTCTAACGCCCATTCAAACCCTAGTCACACCAATATCCCAAAACACTGCTCTTTCCATGACAACAGGAGATCACAACCCTTCCCCTCTCTGTGTCCTGGCACTCATTTGTAGAGCCAAAGGATTACTAAGAGCCCAAGTTAAACTGGAACGCATGAGAACAAATCAAGAGCTTGCAGATGCTTTAGCCTATTCCAATCGGGGCAGCTGTCTTCATCCCAGGAAGAAGGCCAACTGGGGGGAGCTGGTCACCTTTCTTCTTGGAACTCAGTTTTTTAATTAGCATTCCCAGAGAGAAAGGCACGCTGCCGAGGGGAACCAGCATCTCTTTCAGAGCATAGTTGGAATTGAGGCCCAGAACTCGGTACAGAGATCCCGAGCCATGCGAGAGTTCCCGACCAAAGCAGTTTCAGAAATAGCCGAGACCTTGAGGCCGGAAAACCAGAGGGACTCGGTGGCTCAGGAGAAGGGTACTTCATTCTCAGTCAAAACGCAGCAGGACGAGTCAGGAAGGCCTGGCGCGGGGATGGAGAGGAGTCCCCCACTCAGAGCCCTTCGCGCGCTAAGTTGAAAGATCGAGACTCCGACTCCCACTCACCCTCACCAGCCCCGAGGATACAGACTTGGCCTGTAGAAGTTTGCGGCCTGGAAGGGCGGTTCAAACCCACGTAGCCCTTTCGCCTGCTGGCCGTGGGCCCACACCTGCTCACCCCGCTCACCCGCAGCGGGCCGGTCCAGCTTGAGGATGTCCCTCAGGTGCTGCGTGGCGTCCTCGATGTCGATGCTCGCGCAGGAGGCCATGGGCCCAGCCGCGGGCGCCCCGCCCGCACGACGTTCGTTCTACTACCGCCGCGCACTGCCCGGCCTCGCCCCGCCGCGAACGGGCGAGACACCCGAACACAGGTCACTTCTCCGTCCACCCGCAGCTAGCAAACCGCCGCCCGCGCTGCGTCCGGAGCTCCGCCAACCCCACCAACCGCCTCCACTTCCGGTCGCTGTGAACCTACGCTCCCGGAACCTGAGAGGACTAGAGAAGAAAGGTTCCGGGCTGGGGAGGAAACCGTCGCCATTCCGCAATCCGTCTGGGAACGCCGCCTTCCCAGCTCTCTCGGTGCCAACGGGATCAGGGAAGTTTTTTACAGGGCGAATGCCCACGTATTGGGCCACCCTAAACCATCAGGTCCATGGTCACTCGTTTCTATGACAGTCAAGTCTACCGTTTAGAATGCAGCTGCTCAGCCCCAAAGGTATTCACTTTATTGACATTTGGGTTTAGGAAATGGTTCCAGGTAGCCTAAGGTCTGGGGGAACCTGCAAGACTATAAAGCCCGGGAATTATTGACAGGATAGAAGGTCTCACTTCAATGGTCTCAATTACTCCCTCTGTCCACCAGCCGTCCCTGGTCCCACCTGGCACTCATGTAGCAAGAAAGAAACCATGGTTTACAAACACCTTTTTATTGCAGACAATTCAGGCACAGGTACATGGAGGAAGCTGTATTGCAGATTTTATACAGGGTGGCTTCAGAGGTAGCAGGCATCTACCTCTCCCTCACCCCCACATACACAGCAACGTAAGAGATCAAGCCCCACTGACATCTCCTAAAGATGGCCTAGGCAGTGCAGTTTGCCCAGGGTAGCCAGGCAAGCTGTGGGGTCAGAGTCCTCAGTTTCCACCCAGAGTGCGGATGAAGAAAGGGTATCCACTTGCAGGCCAAGCTTGGCTGTGGTGCCCTCACTGACCCCAAGACCCTATCAGGACATTAATCCAAATTCTGGTTTTGGTTTACTGGCCTGCAATTGCTATCTTGCCCTTAGGTTTATACCTTACAGAGGTCTCAGGGCTAAATGTGCGCTGGGCAAGGCCTCTGTCCCCAAAACTAAGGAGCAGAACTACCCTAATAGTTAAGACTTGTGTGGTTTTCCAGACAGTGTGACTGTGTATGAGAGAAGAACAAGGAGGACTAGAATTCCCTGCAGGGGTTTGAGGAGTGATGGCATGAGCGCCCTCACACTCAGACTGCCGTCTTCCACAGCTCCATGTCTCTGCTCCAACCAAACGGGGTCTGTCTTGGTCAGTATGAAGGCTGCCTGTCAGGACAGATGGCACATGATCTGAGCTGCCCTTGGCTTGGAGGATGTGGGGTATTCAGGACATGATCAATGACCTTTGTGGAGAACAGAGTAGGTCCCTTCTTTGATCTTGTGGAGGCATTAGTCTGGAGGGTCCAAACAAGATGGCCCTTTTTGCCAAGGCCTCAGTGGCTTCAGCAAGGATACAGGGTCCTGTCTCTCATAAACCTGTCAAGCACAGAGGTCACAACTATCAAGCATCAGGGGTCACAACTGCCTGCAGAAGCTTCAGTGCAGGGGCCACTTCAGGCCAGACCTGAGCTCTCCCCATCTGCACTCCCAGGACCAGGTAGGCTGAGAATTCTGCCCCACAGGGCTTTGGAAAGAAGGAAGATGGGAGTGCTGCTTCAGTAGATTTTCTCCTAGCAACAGGTTTTTGCTGAGTCGCAGGCAGAGGTGGGAGAGAAATGAGACCATGGGGCAGGGTAGTTACTGATGCCCAGCCATCTAGTCAACTAATTAAAACAATTTGAACTGTTAAGAAAATTTTGTGGTTTTATTGTATCATGAGGCATTGAAACATCTGAACAAATCAAAATCTGGGCGGTGAGGCAGCTGCTTTCTCCTTCACTTCTTTGGGTTACTAGAGCAACTTGTCAGTAGATAAAAAAAAAAAAAAAAAAAAAAAAGACAACCTTTTGCATTATTTAAGTCTTTCCAAGGCATGCGCTGGTAAACACAAACTTCTCCTGTCAGATGCGACTAGTCTAGAGTCCAAACATCATGCACAACACGCCGGTGGCAGCAGCGCACTGTGCCCACTCCCACCACGGCCCTGCTCGTTTGTGTATGATATTTGGAGCATCTGGAGGAGTGTGAATAGTATCAGGAAGAGGAGAGAGGAGGAAACAGCGATGAGTGCCTTGCTGGGAGGAGGTCAGCCGAAGTTGTGCAGGGCAAGCCTGAACATGTCATTGGTGCAAACCCAAGCATCATTGATGTTCTTTAGTAGGAACATCTGGTGGAATCCCATGATAGGATCTTCATCAGCCTGTTGAGAAGAGAAAATGATTCAGTGAGGTGTCAGAGGAACAGAAAGGGAGCTTGTAGTAGGGGAATGAGACAAAGAATACCAACCTTGGGATCAGGCCCTATGGAATACTGTTCTCAAATCCTAGTACAGGGGAAGGGCACTGGTGACTGTGAACTACTGTAATACATAAACACCACACCAGGATACAGTAACCATGAAACAGCAGCTCATATTGCCATGTATGCTTCAAGCACAAAATAAATCACCACGCTAACAGGTGATGACACAGCTGCTTCAAGCCCATGTTTCCAGGCACAAGTGACCCAAGTTTTGAAAGAATCCCATAATACTTAGTACAGAATTTAGGAATATCAAAATGCTGTTAACAGGCTCAAAACACAGCATCTATAATGTAATCATAGCTCTATAGGAAAAAAGAAAGCTACAATCTCACCATCAGGTGATCTGTTTCCTGTCATCATACAACATCTGCAGTGGAAACAGAATGGTGAAAAACTAGCCAAGCCGTAGAAAATCATTATGAGGTACAGTCTGAAGCAGGTTGTGAGCTAACCTCTACTCTCTTAAGTCACCCATCTAGAATTAACATCAGTAAGGAAGAAACTAGTCACCTGGGGGATCCAAGCTCGACAGCAACACCAGGAAGAAACTGAAGCCTGGTGAGAAGGGACAGCACTTCTCACATCAGCTTTACCAATCTAAGTTGGTACTGAGTTCCCAGGAGACTGTCTGAATCCTGTGGCCTAGGTGGGAAAGGGATCTTGGACAACCAAGAGAAATGGACAGGCAAGTCCAGGCCCAAGGGAAGATCTTTCTGGATCCACTGCAGAGGCCTAAATCCTCCTCCCTCCACAACCACATTGATTCAGGAGGCCCTGCCCCAGCTTGCCCAGTGAGTCTCTCTAGGATACACTCACAAAAAGCTGAGACTGGGCCACTGAGACAAAGCAGCTTCTTGGAAACAGGCACTGAACAGTGGGTTTTGGAAGGGAGGGTATGAGGATCTACAGAAAGATTCTGAAGATGACATGTCATGAGAAAGGGAAGGGAGAAAATGCAAAAAGAAGCAGGAATTCCAGAAATCTGGTTGGTAGGTCAGGAGCCAATCTAGGGAACAGCAGCATGAGCTCCAGGAGCACTGAGCTGGGCCACCTGTGTATCAGACTGTGTGAGCACTCAGAGTCTTGGTACCACAACTTGTTTATACCTCTTGTCCCTTTTCCAAAAAGGCTCTAGAGCTACTGTTCTCCAGAACTTTCTGTAATCACAGAAATGGTCTCTACTAACACTGAATAATAGGTTGTTCCATGTGGCTTATTACAAACACTTAAAATGCTGTAACACAACTGAGAAACTACATTTTGGTTTTGTTTAATTTTAATTAATGCAGTGTAATAATTGCTCCATGTGGCCAACAGGTATTATAATGAACAATACAGCTTGACAGTTCCTCTGTGCTCCTGGATAATTGGGTCATACATGCAGCAAAGTCTGAGGCCCAGGGCTCTCCTCCATTTGCCCACCCCTTCCTAGGAATGCAGTAGCACTATTACCTTGAGCTGGCCCACAACCATGCTAATGATGCAGCTATCTGGCGTGGGCTGATGATCCTGTGCCGTGATGCTGTGCTGGATTTTTTGGAAGGGAAGGCTCTACAAGAGAAAGAGAGGTCAGTGGACTCCATGAGGCCAGAAAGGCTGGGGGGAGAAAGTCTCCTGCCTTGCAGCTCTGGCCCTTACTTACAGACAACTTCTCCACAATGGCAGCTTTCCCTTGGAACTGCTGTCCTTCCCATGTAAGGCATGATGCATCAATCTGAAAAAGACACGGCAAAGATCTCTAAGGCCAGCAAAAAGGGTCTTCCTTGGGAGAAATGAGTACCCACCTCAGTTTCCCTGTCTGAACTGAAAAACTGAGAGTAATTCACAAACTATATGCTGTCAATGCCTTCTTTAACTACAAACCTTTGTTCCAGGGTACACACTCTGAAAAGACTATACCAAAATATACCTACTGGGTTCATTTACTATTTTTATTCAAGAAGTCACATGGCCTCTAATATGCTTGTGTCTCAAAAATGCCAAAGTAGTGTGGGTTCAGACAAAAGTCAATCTACTATGTGGTAAACAAGCATCAATCCTTGAGAAATCTTCAGGACTAACTTGGAAATATTTCCATTCATTACCATCACCAGGGCCATTACCAAGTTCTACTGTGGGCCTTCCAGCTAGCCTTCAGGGTACTCACAGGTCCAGGGCAGATAGAGGCTGACCAGGCCAGCTGATACTCCTTGCTTGTACCAGACAAAATCCTACATGCAACCCACTAGGTAAGCTGTCCCTACCCCTCCAAATCTTCGCTTTCACAACCTTCAGGGTAGAACTCAAAAGGACATCGGTTGCTAACTAGTTGTGACATTATGTAAGTTACTTATTTTTCTGAGTCTCAGTTTCCTAATCTTCAAAGAGGAAACATGAAGTCTATGAAGCAATATACATACATGCAGTGTTCTAATTTTAGGATTTTGCTAACCCTCCTCGCTGGGTCAGGCCTGCTTTAATTCATAGACACTGAAGCAGATGTGCAGGGTATCAGTTGGATCAGTTCCAGTTTTTCAAAACACTCTGTTGAGGCAGCGTTAGCCACAGCAACTTAGGATGGCCACATCCTGCATTGGGAGTGCCTGCTTCAATCCCCAGCTCCCCTCCTTCCCATCCTGGAAGGCAGCAGATGATGACTCAAATACCTCGATCCCTGTTACCCACATGGGAGACCCAGACTGAGTTCTAGGCTTCTGGCTTTGGCCTGACCCAGCCCTGGCTATTTGAGG